GTAGCCATGGCTGTCCTGGAACTCACTATATAGACCAGGCTGGCTTCAAACCTGAAGATCTGCCTACCTCTACCTCTACCTTCTGATTGCTGAGATTAAAAACATGTGCTATCACCACTTTGTCCAAATATTTTCTTATTCCTGAATATCTCAGTAGTTCTGAGCTAAACCAGGATTCACAATGCATACTTTCTGGTTATCTACTAGAAAAAGGTCCTTCCCATCATTACCTTTCCTACCCCAAATCTGATCTCCATTTTCAACCACGGTGATTCACATTCCCCCTTCCTTCGTGTCAATCTCATTTTCCCAGACTCCCCTCAGACACAAATTTTCTCATGCTCAAATTAAACTCCTATTATTATGGAGAGTGATGTCGGAGTCATAGCTTGACATTATTTCAAAAACCAATGAAAAGATTCTGACCACATCAATACTATATGAACTCTGTGTTGTATGATGTTTTACTAATTTGGTGTTCTGGGGGGCCTGCCACCCAGCTCCCAAATGAATCACACACATGGAGGCTTATTATGACTTATGAATGTCTGACCTTAGCTTTGCTTGCTTCTTGCCAGTTTTTCTTAACCTAGATTAACACGACTACCCTTTGCCTCTGGGCTTTTATTTATCTCTAATTCTGTATACCTTTCTTTGCTTCTTTTTCCGTGGCTTGCTGCGTAGCGGGGTGGCTGGCCCCTGTTGTCCTCCTCTCCTTGTTCTCTCGGGCTCCCTTCCTTGTTCCTCCTTCTATTTATTCTCTTTGCCTGCTAGCCCCACCTATCCTTGCTCCTGCCTGGCTATCGGCCCTTTTTTAGGACTGTCGGGTGTTTTAGACAGGCGCAGTAACACAGCTTCACAGAGTTAAACAATTGCAGCATAAACAAAAGCCACACCCCAGAAAATAACATTACCCAAACCCCGACAGTGGTTCTAACAGGCAGAGTTGGCTCTGCTGCAGTCTTCCATGTGGCGGAGGAAGACAGCTCTCTGCAGTACCCCAGACTCCTGCCTGCTGCATTGACCTCCAGAAGCTCCTGGTGTGATAGAAATCTCTTACATCTACATTACCGGATACAGCAGTCCATAGCCTCCTGTGACTCTTGAGCACCAGACGCACATCTAGTGTGACTAACAGCTCTTTGTTTGTTTTTAACATATTCAAATTTATGATCAGCACCGTGGTGATAATAGCTGTGTAGTTGAAATTAGTGAGAGTAAATATTAAAAGGCTCTTGCTTCAAAAAAGCTGAGGATTTACTATGTTACTTAGCTTGATGTGGCCATCAAGGTATACAATAAATATAGACATTTGCTGATTCAAAACAGTTTGGACAGTAGGCCGGGTTCTATACAGTGACTGGCTTCTCCGAGAGGTCCCCTCCCTCACCCCCAGGCTGGGTTCCTCCTCCTACACCACTTACCATTCTCACACCACCTCATACGCACGCGCAGCCTAAGCACAACCTTTGTTAACAGCGGGAGAGGGTAATCTGGATACCTGAGGAAAAGTGATCTCCGAGAGGTTGAGGTGTCAGGGCCTCTGCTGTTGGCAGGGTTGGCAGTGTGCATGTCAAACTGGACCTCCTTTCTCTTCCTCCCTTCCCTCCTCCAGGATGCCTAATGCCTAGAATAAGTTTCCCCAGCCTCTAGGCCTCTGCTCCAGCCAGGCGTCTGCCTAAAGATCTTTCCTTTCTTCCAGTTCACCTCACTAGAACCAGACATATGCCAGTACTTAGTAAGTCCTGAAACTCACACTCAGTTGTCTCATCCCAAGATACAGCTATTAAAGTGGCTACCTTTCTTTCCTCGCTAGAGGTGTGTTCCCACTTCCTGTCCGGCAGTCCCTAGGTCTCACCTTCTCCTTCAAACATTTTGACTCCTCCCCCCATGGAGGAGCCCCTCCTCGGCCTTCCTTCAGTGATGCAGCTTTCCTCGGGAGCTGGCTTCAGTAAGCAGGATGATCAGTAGCTGCTGTGGCGTGACCACCTGAGCACTCGTTTACTGAGCGCCTCTGCCCCAGCTGCAAGGCTGAGTTGTGACTGAGCTTATCCAGTTCTGAAGAGGACCCCTGAAGTGGTGTCACAGTGCCCTGGCCTTCTCCACTCACAACTTCCTGCTCCTTAGTATCTTCAGCCTAAGAACAAGGGAACACACAGTACAAACTCTGAAGTGTGGCCTTGTTGCCCATCAGAAGCTTCAAGGCCCATCCCTTACTGAGTTCGCTCTGTCTCTTCAGCTGGCTCTCCCAGAGACACTGAATATGTATTCTGAACGGCCACCTCTTTGGTCATCTGGAGATGCTCCTGGGCTGCACACAGGCCACCGGTGTTCTGCTAAGCGTGTTGACACTCACACATAGCTATCAAGGCTGACAGGCAGGCCCAGGCCCAGCACTCCTGTGCCAAGGCCTTGGGCAGTTTGCCAGCATCCTCCCTAGGAGCACTGAAGTGTGTTGATTCCTACCTGACTAATTCTTATGCACACAGTGAGAGCTGACCAAGGGTCCCCTCTGCAGGGAAGTCCCCATTACCCCTTTCTGCTTTCAGGCTATATGCTCTTGTTTGCAGAGCTGTGCCTAATCGCTATTTGCTGACTATTCCTTCGATGGTACAGTAGGTGTAGCAATCCCATTTCCTCAAAACAGCGCTGTGATGCGGGTACTATTTTATTCCCATTTGTACTGATGAGGAAATTGAGTCACAGAAGCACCAAGTAATCTGCCCAATGTTCCACAGCAAGTTAAATGGTTCAGTCTGGATTTGAACTCAGAAACTCTGGCCCTAGAACCTACACTGTTAATCACTTCTCCAGAATTATCGTCACTGTAGAATGTACCTCCTTGACGGCTGTAGACTCTTCGGGCAATTAAGTCTCTGTCTTGGTTACTTTTCTATTGCTATGATAAGACACCATGCACAACCAAAGCATCTTATAAAAGAAAGTGTATTTGAGGCTCATGGTTTCAGAGGCTTTGAGTTCATGACAGTGAAGCTGGGGTAGCAAGCAGCCAAGTGTCCAGAGGATCCGCTGAGAGCTCACATCCTGAGCCACAAGCGGGAGGCAGAGAGCACAGTGGGGGTGGGGTGATTCACTTGAAATCTCAACACCTACCCCCCCAGCCACCTGGTGACACACAACCTCCAACAAGGCCACATCTAATCCTTTCTAAGCAGTCCCATCAACTGGGGACCAGGTATTCAAACCCATGAGCCTAGGAGGACCATTCTCATTCAAACCGCTAGAGTCTCCAAGTGCAGAAAGCATTTCTGGAGACTTCATCCTCATTTTTAGAAGTGATGCTATGAGCCCCAACCTCTGACACACTTATGAGGCTAGATGACCCACGCGTATGGCTAGCGACTGTCTAAGAAGGATGGCAAGGTACCAAGAATGATAGCCAACAGAGTAAGCCTGAGCTTATGCTCCTGCCCCTTCCAAGTGTCTTTATGAACTGGCTCCTTCATCGCTCAGACTGGGTCCCTTCTCCTGGCCTTTCAGCCTCACAGTCCTCGTTTTTTCTCACAAATGTAGATCTCAAGTGCCCTGGGCAGAATTAGTAAACAAGAGTCAACGTTGTTATTAAAGCTTGAGCTTTTATGCCAGATACCATGCTGAGTCCTGAAAGATGAGGTTGGGGAATAGAGATGAATCAGAGAAGCATATGGACATCATTAACAATGGGACAAGGTAGGAGGTGTCATTGGCATAATAATGTCTGGTGCCCGGGAGTTGAGGCTGTTACTTTAATCCTGGTCACGTGAATTGCACTTTGCCCGAAGACTGGTCTTAGAAAATGATCTGAAACGGGGAGTGGGGGCTCTGAGAGTGTAGCATGATAGTAAAGGGCTTGCCTACCATGAAGATCAGTTCTAGGCCCTCGGCTCCCAGGATCAATCCTCAGCAGATGGGGGATTGGTTATAGAAGCAATTCCTTCAAAGAAGGAAGGTTTATTTCGACTCACAAAGGCATCAGTATGTCATAGCAGAAAAGGCGGAGCAGAATTCATGATGACAGGAGCCATGTTAAATCAAAGAAGAAACAGAGAAAGCCAGCTGGAACCGGGGATTGAATAGGACACTCAAAGCCTGCCCCTTCAGATCTACTTCCACCAACCAGCCTTCATCTCTTAAAGACTCGACAATTTCCCATACCAGCACCAGCAGCTGGGGAACAAGCACTTAAAATGTGAACTTGAAGGGGTCATTTCAGATTCAAAGCACAGTATTCCCACAATAGTTAAATCTCTGGGGTGGTAGGGTGTCTCGGCTGGCAAAAAAAAGTGCTTGCCACATGACCCTGTCACCCTGGACTAGATCCCCAGAACCCACTGCAGTTGATGAGAACTGACTCCCAGAAGTTGTCCTCTGACCTCCACACATGCACAGTGGCACACATATGCCCATGTACACACAGACAGACACACACACACACACACACATTTAAAAAATAAAATCAAATCAAAGAGTTATTCTGCTTTTAGTCTATCTGATTCCTATTCTCTAACTAATCTACTTTTCCATGGTCCTAGCCAGATGACCAAAATAACCACCACTCCCATTTTTATTTAATTTAATCAATTTATTTATTATTTTTGGTTTTGTTGAGACAGCCTCTATGTAGCGCTGGCTGTCCTGTGACTCTATGTAGGCCTTGCTGGCCCCAAACTCAGAGAAAGCTGTCTGCCTCTGTCTCAAGTGCTGGGAGTAAAGGCATGCGCCACCACGCCCTATGACCTCCCTGTTTTAAAGCTGTTAATCTTCCTAACATAACGCAACAAACTGTCATATTACAATTTACTCACAGATGTAACACCAAGGGGCAAAGTCTTGGAGAGCAATGACAAAATCGTGCCTATCAGTAGCGAACGTTTGCTTGGCATTGGTGACTTTGGAAGAAGTTTGGTGGATAAAATGTACTATTTCAGAAAATCGATACACTAACTCAGGGTATAGACATGTGAGACTTTCAGCCTCGCAGTTTAGATTTCTGATTTAATTCATGTCTCTCCTCACCTCCTGCATGTTCTTTCCTGACCAGGGCAGCCCAGGCGTTCGTGGAGAAGTATGAGGGAGCCTTGGGGAAAGGGCAGGGCAAACACCTGTATGCCTACAGGATGCTGATGGCTAAGGTAAGTGGGCTCCTCAGACAAGCTCCTGGACGAGCCTGCTCAGGGCAAGCACAGAGGGACCACCACAAACACCAGCCAGCTTGGCCGTTAGTGCCAGGTTCCCCTTAGAACCCTGAATGTGGGGTCCGGCAGATCATCCTGAGTCCTCCAGGGATGGAAGTCAGCTGCCCCTTGCCACGTACTCCACACTTATCTGTGGAACGTCATTGTGTGTGTGTGTGTTTCCTCTACAGTAAATAAACCCCCAGAATGAATGGTGTTAACATCACTGGTATTTATTTTGTCTTGCAGCACTCAAATCAAGGCATCTTGATTTGGTGAAAACACAGCCAAGCTGTGGGATCATCAGGTTATGAGACTGACCAGTGATGTCCCCATAAGGGCTTGGCAGTGCTGCTTTATTGAGCTGGGTCAGAACCTGCTTCAAGTGGCTGGTGTTTTGTGTGGGTCTTGTTGAAGTATCCTTTCTTCATTGTAGTTAATTACCTCTGATTGAAAAGCTATGGTTCCTCATTCATTTAGTTCCTACGCGGAGCCTGTCTGGGGCTTTTGTTATGAATAACCATTTAACATCATGACAGCTCTAGCTTTCTCTTTTTAGCTTTGTTAAAAAAAAAAAAAAAAAAAAAAAAAAAAAACAACTCTTACACTTTGTGAGTGGACTGGGGACCAGTGGGGATGGGAACATAAGCGATGTGGGGGTTGGGGAATAGAAGGGAAGAGACTGAAAGAGACTACTGGAAAGGGGAGCTATTTTGGGGTCAGGTAAAAACTTGGCACAAGGGAATCTCCCAGGAGTTTACAAGGATGACCCCAGCTAAGACTCCTAGCGATTGCGGACACAGAGCCTGAACTGGCCGTCTCCTGTGATCAGATGGTGACTAACCCAACTGTCATGAGAGAGGCTTCATCCAACAATTGGTGGAAACAGATGCAGACAGACCCACAGCTGAACATTAGGCGGAGTCTGGGGAATCCAGCAGAAGGGAGGGAGGAAGGATTGTAGGAGCCACAGGGGTCAAGGACACCACAAGAAAACTCACAGAATCAATTAACCTGAGCTCATAGAGGCTCACAGAGACTGAACCAACAACCAGGGAACCTGCATGGGACTGACCTAGGTACACAGCATGTATGTTACGGTTGTGTAGCTTGGTGTTCTTGTGGAACACCTAACAGTGGGAACAGGGGCTATCTCTGACTCTTTAACAGACTTTTTGGATCCTGCTCCTCACACTGGGTCACCATGCATAACCTTAATACATGGGGGGGGGGGGGTGTTTTGTCTGACTGCAACGTGATATGCCATGCTTTGTAGATACTCATGGGAGGCCTGACCTTTCCTAAATAGAAACAGAGGAAACTGAATTGGGGGGTGGGGACAGAGAGGGTGGAGGTGGAGGAGCAGAAAGGAGAGGAGGGGGGAAACTGTAGCTGGGATGCCAAATAAATAAATATTTTACATAAGAAAAACTCTTCCCTTGCTTATGATTTCACATTCATTCTTAAAATCACTTTGCCAGATTCCAAAATGGGTCATTAAAATTTTGATTGAAACTGTATTTTAACTGATACATAAAAACACAAAAATCATTATGTATCAGTTAAATAATTAAATATTAACAGTGTAGCATGAATGGGATAGTATTCCATGCATATACATACATACATACATACATACATACATACTGTATGTCATGTAAACTAAATAAATTAATTAACCAGGTTAAATAATTCCATCTCCCCTAACATATATCATTTCTTTATGGTGAAAACTTTCTAGTCTTTTCTAGTAGCCTTTTATGATAGACAGAACGCTGGCATCTGTCAATCAGCACTTCAGACATCTTGCTTCTATCTGGCCCAGGACCCACCGATTAACCTCTCACACCTCCCTCTTTGGTCCACCCTGCCCACCCCCCTTGGCGACCATCACTCTCAACACTCATAAGCTCAGTTCTTAAGGTTACACGTGTGAGTGCAAATGATCTTAGATCCTTGGTGTGATTTGATCTATGTATCCTTTGTATCCAGAATACTATCTTTCTCAAGGTTTTACATCTTTCAGTATGATTTGTCAAAGAGATTTTTCCATGTTTTAAGTTTATTTCTACGTAGGTTGTATCCTAGTTGCTTTTGTAAATGGTATAATTTTTCATTTCTATAACAGTTAGTTATTAAGGTACGTGGGAAAGTATAGATTTGCGTATCAATTTTATATCTAGTTCTCGTGTGTGTGTGTGTGTGTGTGTGTGTGTTGCTGGAGATGGAGCCCAGAGCCTCAGACATGACTGGCAAGCATTCTACCACTGTCTTTATATTCTCTTATTGTTTCTATCTTCTTAATCAGTTTCATTTGATTATGTAGATGTCAATTAGGGTTGCTGTCTTATGGAGACATTTACGTAATTGAGGTTCCTGATTCTCACATGACTTTAGCTTGTGCTGAGTTAACATAAAACTAACCAGCAAGGGCTGTTCCCTTGTCAGCTTGGCACACAAACACATCAGTTAAATCACATTATTTTCTTTCTCATTCATTCCCAAGATTACAAATTAATATTGACATCACATTAAAATATTTTACAAACTTAGAAAGTCCTACAGTCTTTAAATTCAAACAATTTGAAATTTAATTTAAAATTCGGTCTCTTTAAATATCCAAAGACTCTTTTAAAATCCAAAATCTCTTTTAAAGTTCAAAGTCTCTCAACGTTTTTATTTTTAAAATCAAAAATAAGTTAAATGCTTTCTTACTTCAAGAGGGAAGAACCAGGGCACAATCACAACCTAAACAAAGAAAAGCTGCACTCCAACTGTGTAAATAACTCAGTGTCCAAGGTCTGGATGCACTCATGAACTGAGCTCCGCCACAGGGCCTGAGACACTTCTCTGGCTCCTCCCTCTGCAGCCCACAGATTGTCTCCAGAGCTCGGTCCAGTTCTCCTCCACGGCTGCTGCTGTTCTTGTGGTCATCCCGTGATCCTGTCATCCCCAAAATGTTGGAATCTCTTGCTGCAACTGGGCTGCACCTTTACCAATGGCCTTACCTAGGCTCTCTTTGGGACTCCAGTCCTGTCACACAGTGCCAAGCCTCAACTGCCATCCGTTGTAAGCTTCCGCACTTTTCTGTGGACACCCGAACCTCGAAACAGGCGCGCGCTTTTCCTGACTCGAGCCCACGAGAACGGAAGCATGTCCTAGGGATTTGAACACATGACACACACACAAAGAGACCGGGCTCATCTGCCAAGGAGCAAGTGGCAAATGGCAGCTTTATTAAGCATAAGTCGGATATATATACTGTGGGGCAAAAGGACACCAGCCCCCTATCAGGATCAAGGAAAGAGAAAAGTCAGGGGGCCGCACCCAAGGTCGGAGAGCAGCTGAACAGAGAAAAGAGGAACCTTTCCTTCTCTGACCAGGGAACCTTGCCTGCGGCGAGAACCTTGCTTGCAGGTGGAATTACCATAACAGTAGAGGGAGAGTTCTCTCTAAGCTACACCCTTGGGCCGTAGGTGAAATTAACATAACAGGAGAGGGCAGCTCTATGCTACACCCTCAAGTTGATGCAGTGGAACCAGGAAGCAGAACAGCCCTGCATAGCGCCTCGGAAAAATGGGGAGCCTCCCGCCAACATTTGAGAAATAATTAATAGGATCGACATATCTGGCTACAGATGTGGAAATCTTTGTCAATCATCAATCCATACAGAAAACATTAGGACTCCAGAAATAGTCCTCCAAAGAACAATTAATGAAATAAAAATATATGTAACAGATCTAAACTGAAAATTCTCAATAGACAAACTTAAAAATGACTGAAAGATATTTAAAAAATTTTTAAGTATGACATCTTTAACCATAGGAGAATTGTGAATCAAAATAACTTTTGAGACTATCTTATTTTAAATGACATGACCAAGATCAAACATTGTTCATAGTTTATACTTAAGAGAAACCTTTCCACGATTGGTGGAAATGTAAATTGGCACAGTCTGGAATTTTAGAAAATTAGGCAACATACCATCTCAAAATTTAGCTATACCTCTTTAGGGCTTAAATACAAAAGATGTTTAACCATGTCATAAGGACATGTGTTTAACCATGTATATAGTAGAATTACTTTATTAATATAGAATCTGAAAACAACCCAAATGTATTTCTCTAACACGCCTGATAAATGAGATAGCCATAAATGTTATAAAACATTTTTGAATAACTCTAATTATATAAATTAAAAAACCTGTATAACAAGACTTTAAACCTTATAAGAAATTTAAGCCATTAGACAATGGAGAGATCTCCATTCATCTGTGAAAACAGTATCAAATAAGCCAAATGGACAATATTATTGAAAATTAATCCATGAACTTAATGTAAATGTCCATCAAATTTATGATGAAAATTTAGACTTTGAATAAAATAATTATTACCCTTACAAAAAAATGTAAACTTAAAATCCTGTATAATTAAAGAACCTTTGAATCTATAATAATCATTAATTTAAAACTGTCTAGACTTAAGTCCTAAATAAATTGTTTTAAATCTAGCATAGTTGAGTTATTGCTCCAAAAATATAATTTGAGAAACCTGTTCTCCCGCTCCTAGCCTGGAGCCCTCTAAAAATGTGTAAGTAACCTTTCTTTAAAAAGGAAAACATTAGATTTTTTGAAACCAGACAGCTGTTCCTTTTAACAACCTCTTTAACTCTGATTTACCCGGGGTATTTTTTATTTTTTAATTATCTCTTATCTCTTAATTATCTTAAGTATCTCTTATTTAATTATATCTTAATCCTCAATGCATCCTGGCCAGACTACAGGATGACCCGGTCCATAATCCTCACCTTTCCGATCTCACCCATGAGTCTCGGCGGAGGGTGTCCAGGTTGAATGAAATCCATAGAGCATGAAGTTGAGGAGAAACAGCAGCTTGCTTATTGCTCTGCTGGGGCTAGCTTTTTACCATGGCATCAAATGGGGAGCCAAGGAGGGACTC